CATATATATATGATATAAATAAAATTTATAAAGTTTTTAAAAATTTTTGTCATTCTGTTATCATTCTGTTTTTATTCAGCTAAACCTTTATTTTTATTCTTTTGAGTGCAGAAGGTGTAACATAGAAACTGAAAAGAACAGATTCGGTGATATACTAACACAGAGAAAGAAATGACATAACCAATCTGTGAAGCTACTTGCACACAATACAGAAACTGTAAGAGTTTTTCAGCGAGCTCTAAAAATCTAACAAATAGGTCTAGATATCTGTGCAGGCATAAATATCAATTCTCTAATAAACTAAGATCATATTAATGATGCCTACAAAATGTTACGAAAGCGGATATCACGAAATATGTATTCTGCACGAAATCATCCATTCACGCGTGACTTACCCTAATCGATGTGGTCACCAGGTTCCAAAAGCTGGCTTGCATCATACTTTCAAAATACGAAAATATACCTCGAATCCCGACAATAAATACGGAAGGAATAGAAAGGGAAAAAAGTTCGGCAGTGAAATAATGAAGGTCTACCGGTTATCGCGACAGGTTCGCCTCTCGAAAGGTGCTGATAATTCAGTGATTATAGAACACATTTAGTTCGCTAAAGGCGTCGAAAGATGACGCTAGGAATTCCATCAAGAGGTCAGCAGGTTACTTTCAATTCATCGATAGCACCGCAAGAAGGCGCACCAATTTTCAAAATGAGGCGCGTCATGGAATAAAAATGGCGACAGTTCGCGGTACTTTGTTAATCTAGTGACTTTAAAAGATTGTCAAGTCAAAGAGGAGCACAAATTTCGGCTATTATAAAAATCAGTTTATGGTAAATTGGATAATAATTCGGAAAGAATGGGCATTGTTTTTATTCGTAAGTTTATTTCGAGAGGAACTTTTTCAGATAGAGCTGTAATAATAAACAATAAAGTTATCAGACTTTCATTTTATTACAGTGACAAATATACACTCAGGAATTATATATTGTAGATAAAAAATAATTAATCAAACGAAAAAGAAAATAGGTAGTTGATACTTGTGTCATCAAGTGGAGAACACTAAGTGTGAAATTGTAATATTGATTTCTATTAATAACTATAGTGCTTACTGAGGTGAATATTAATTTCTAAAATTGATTTGCTTGTGAACTTAAAAAATGACTAATCAAACGAAAAAGGATAGGAAATCATCATTCTTAATCTTAAGTTTTTCTGTATGATATAGTCTTAAGATTAATCATTGCATTTCATATTAAATAATGCAACTTTTGTGTGATGAAAATTCTCTCAGATTAATTTTAATGATTAACCTTAAGACTATGGCACACAGAAAAACTTAAGATTAAGAATGATGGTTTCCTACCCTTTTTCGTTTAATTAATCATTTTTTAAGTTTAATTAATATTTATCTCAGTAAGCACTATAGTTATTAATAGAAACATCAATATTACAATTTCACACTTAATGTTCTCCACTTGATGACACAAGTATCAACTTGTGTCATCAAATGAAAAGCATACAGTATTTACAATATAAAATGCAATATACACTCTAAGAGAGTGAAAATATTTCACTTCTTGAAAAAGAATGAAAATTATTGTTACAAGAAGTGAAATATTTTCACTCTTTTTTGAAAGTAGTTGTATTTTCACTATCTTATGAGATTTCACTCCAAGAAATTTAGAATGTAATAACATATATATTACATGACACTTACATTGTTTAGTATGAAATTATAACATTGATATTATGTTACTTTTTAGTTGGTGTTTACTTAGAATTTGTCTACATGATCTATTAATTTTGTGAAATTGAATTTATAATAGACAATATCTTTTATTTCTTTTTTTCGTTTACTTCACTCAGATTGTTTTGTATCAGCTTGCATACAGCCGGGAATGAGTTGAAGATCTCATAATCGTATTCTATTTTGAAATTTATCAGCCATCCTTTTCCTGCTCGATGATTTACGTCCCACTCACGCGGATATATCTTATTTTTCTGTTGAGCCATATGATAAGCCACATACGGCAATCGTTCTAACGTGCAGGCCTGACATATGCAATGGGCTTGCGGAATTGCGGCCAAGAGCTTCAATAACAGTAACTCCTCTTTAAACGAGAAAATTCTCCCGGTTCCATTGTACTCGTACATCTTCGCCCCAGAATTTTTGAAGCGGAGTACCTCCTCACACAGTGTCTCGAAATCAAGTTCATAATTCTTAGCGACCAATTCCTCTTTTGCTCCAGCTAGAATATCGTTTACTGCTGCTTCGAATCTCTGTGTTAATTCGATATATTCTTTCGTTTCCTCCTTAACTTTTATTTTTTTAAGCATAGGTGCATAGTCCCATTTTTCGCACATTTCGGCGATTACTTTAGATCTTTTTCTACTTGAAGACATGGCTATTGCTTTGCTAAACCAAGTTTGTAATAAATTAGTATTTTCATCCATTTCATTACAGTAACCTAAGAAAAAAAAAATAAAGATGATTATATACTTAAGGATTAGGATAATGTAAAGCCGGGGACACACGATGCTTGTTTCTTGCTGGATTGTTAGCTGGATCAGAATTTTGCCACTGTACTGCACACTTGGCTGCGGTAACTGAAAATGTCAGTATTGGCCAATACGATGACAAGAATCTTATCCAACTAGCAATCTAACAAGAAAACATCGTGTGCCGCTGGCTTTAAGATAGAAGTCGCAAGATCTTTGATTTTGTGATTTCCGTCTGTTTAAGATGAAATCTTATATAAATATATTGAATAATAGTTAAACATAGAATTTCGTAGCGTGCTTTTTTGAATTATTTTTACAAATACTTCTTAACTCTCCGGAGCTAAAATTTCTAACACAGTTACTTACGTTGGATCTGTAAGGCCTATTTAATTTATGTTAATTAAGTGGCACTATTTAGTTTCAAGAAATCAAAGTGATATAACTTGTATACAAAAGAATGGATACTAAATATTTTAATAAAAAAAAATTCGAATTTTGAGATGTAACCACGACCTTGTCACCTCTCCGATTTTTAGGCAGAGATTTCGGTTTTTTGATTAAATCTAAGGTTAATCGTTCACAATTTTGATGATCTTTTTCTTTACCTTTTTTTTAAGTGTGTCAATTTTTCTTCGGATTTTAGAAAAATATTTCCAAAGGAGGCAAATCCGATAGTCTTTTTTTAGAAAATATATTAAAAAGCAAAATAAATTTCAATAATAGCAAACGATCTCCGGCAAGGCTATTGTAATCTCCGACAGAGAGTAGAGCCAAATCTGATGACTTTTTTTGAAGCACTGCAAGACAATTTTTGTTTCGATAATTTCGGTACTTCAATCTCTGGTGAGATAGTAGAATCTTCAGCAAAGGAGAACCGTCGATCTCCGGTGGAATACTAGTGGAAAGATGATTATTAAGATATAACAAAGAACATTCAATCGGTTGATACTTTTTACTAAGAGATTTATAAATGCGTTCAATATAGATCGTCAGTTCCAGAGGATTGAGCAATTAAGATAATATATAATTAACAAAATACAGATAATACTTACAAAGATCTCTAAACGAAACTGAATTTTCGGATAATAATTAAAAAAAAATTGGATTGGAAACTGACAATTGACTGAAACAAACTGAAACAAACAATCAGACTTAAATTGTGTTAATATTTGGAAAATTTAAAGTTTATGTCTTTAGGTAACACAATTTCTCCAATATATCTAAATAAACATGTTTCTTTTCTTTCTTCTTACCTTAATGGCGCTGAACTCAGATCGATAATGTATACTGTAGTAATGTGTTGGTTCTCTGGATAATCTAGACGTTGTATGAAGGTTGCTAGCAAAGCTCTGTTTTCATCCTGCAACAAACGTTATTACATTTAATTATTCAAAGAAAGATAAAATTTTTTCGAACAATATAGTTATTCTTTCTTACACTGCTGTCTTTTGAAATATATATTTTGTATCATTCGTTGCGTGAATTGGAAAAAAAAAAGAGAAATCAGACGTGAGAGAGATTTTTAAATATATCTATATAAAAGACAAATGTTACTCTAATAAAAGTAATTATTTCTTTTTACAAATGTAATATTTGTATTTTTTATAATTACAAAAATTTTATTTATTTCATAATAAAAATTTTTAATTAATCGAAAAAGATAGCAGACAGTCCGCGACGTCATTTTCAAAATCAATGCGCAGAAAGAAGAGAAAATAATCAGTCGTGATTCATTATTTGCAAAATAAGCATTGAATTGTTTCATTCTACGGTTTCAAAGGATACGAGATCGACAAGGGAGGAGGATAAACTTCCAACGATTGATAAAGACGTCGAGACACGCCAAAGAATTTCTTTCTTTGGCGAAAGTCGCGGATCGATTGACGCATGAGCATTTTAGGTGGCGTCGCGACGCCGCCAGCGTCGTCTCGCCTATGCATCCCCCTGTCGGTATAATTCACGACGAGCCCCACGAATTTCTTTTTTTTATCTGTGGGGTAGATCGTGTTGAGAAGGAAGGGAAAGCGTAACGAAAGGAAAAGGAAAAAAAAACCGACGAGGAAGGGAGTGTGAATTAGGGCGATAAGGGGATGAAAGGGCGAAGAGCGAAACTCGAGAAGAGAGAGACAAGAGGATAGCGGGATAATGAGAGAGAAAGAGAAGATGATAATAATAAAGGGGTTGGTAGGAGAATAGGAGATAAAGGGCGAGGGACAAGGAAGGGACATGGGAGAAAGAGAGAGATACTACATGAATAAGCAGTGATGTAAGCGAGTCTCGGAAGGGCCCCTCTTACGCAAGGATGCTTGCATTTTAAATGTTGCAAATCAATAATTGCACGCAAAAATAAAAATAATCTCTCTTTGACGTAAAAAATTCTAATATCGTATGATTTTATATTACTTTCAAAAGCCTCTTATACTTTAACTTTATTAAGATTATTTTTACAAAATATCTTCAGAATTTATGTATTTTAGAAATTATTGAATAAGTAATCTTACGTATTTTAGAATTTACATATATAAAGAATAGAAAAGATGTAAACTTTCTTAGTATCTCTGAAAAGTGTTCCAACCTATACAAAAAATTTAAGAAATTTTTTTAAAACTTTTTATCAGGAAACGTAAATTTTAATAAACATAACAATTAATTAAATTAGAAATAGACTGATTAACGTAAAAGTCGTAATTCGTAAAATTGTTTCCCCTCATTTTAATTTCTTAATCTTTTCTCAAAAATGATTTTTTAAGTTAAGAAAGTAAATAAGAAAAAAAATTAAAAAATGAAAAATATTACGATAAATATGTCATTGTTTTATTGATTTTGTCAGTATTATGAGAATTTAAAAGAAAACGTCCACTTAGGTGTCAATTTTTCTGAGATTAGAATAACACATTTTCAGAATATTTTATAAAACTTTAATTAAATTGTTAAAATTTAAAAAAATCTTATAAACATAGTCTATCTAGAATCAAAGTAATATGTATTAAAATTCTAATAAATTTTATGGAATTGGCAGGCTCACATAGAGATAAGTGTACAATTATGTAAAATTTATTTTACTTTTTGGTAAAAAAAAGACAGCGATTGTTTTATAGCCACTGTAAGATATTTTTTACATTTTATAAAGTAAATTTTGAAAATCGTTCGTGCTTACAGTCTTGAGAATAATATGATTTACTTTACTGTAACATTGACTGAATTTACTGTAATTATAATGTACTACCCCTCCGGTATTTTTACTTTTAGAGATAAGTTAATGTTATCATAAATTCAAAAATATCGAAAATAGTCCAGAATATTTTTACTAGTCTTGTAAGGAAAAAATTACTCAACCATTTTTTTTTTTCGTATAGCAAGTTTCATCGACATTGGCGCCAGACCACTTTTCCACGCGCCACCCTGTACATTACGCGTGCGTAGTATGAGCGTAACGATCCCTCGTAAGTGCGAGAGAGAAAGGAGGACACACAGAAGCGAAAGGAAGAAAGAGATCGAAAAGGGAGGAGAAAGAGGGGTGAACGTCTCGCTCGCCGAGGGGTGTCGCGGGGCAACAGATGTCCTTCCGCATGACGCACGCGGGGTGCTCGTCCCTCGCGGAGAGGTAGTCTCGCGTCTGGTGGTCTCTGCATGCGTCACGTCGCGAAATTGCAGAGTGTGTGACTGTGTCCTCGCGAAGGATCAACCGGGCGAAGGATCTCATTAGACGAAACAGGTAAGAGTGACTTACGATCATCAATTCACCTTGATGAATTCTACGCGTCCTCTCTGTAATCCAATCCCGTGTGGTAAATGAATTGCTTGGCGCGGTCCCTTCTGTTGGAAATGTCAAAAATTCTCACGCCGCAAACGAGTGCGATCGAGAAAATATCGAGTGGTTATTCCCACCCCGTGTGAGATATATTTAGCTCTCGACATATAGCTCGATTTATTCGCCGGACGTGGTCGGACGATTTGCCGATACGCAAGCCGTTTCGTTTTCGAGGATAAGCCAACGTTGTGTCTCGTATGTAAAGTAAAGTTGAATTGAATGACGCTCGTGTAAAAGGAATGATTTTGCGAAAGTATCTAAAAATTTGACTTATACGAGTAATTTTTTTTAGTTATTAAGTTTATATAATAATAATAATAATAATAGTTTATATAATTCCTGTATACAGAAATATCTTGAATATTTAATCATATGGATATCTTATAGACATTATATCTTTAAACTGTCCTTATGATATAATTTAGACATTTCTGTTGTATAGGATTACGTAAGACGCTCAAATTAGTTGCTAGAATGTCAAAACATTTTTTATTAGCTGCGTTTAGCAGAGAAAGTAGCTTTATAATTGTTGCAAAATTTTTTAAGATAATTGGTCCTGCTCTTAGTTCCTCATTAAATCTAAATGTATAAATTAATCAAGTGTTAAAGTATTTCACAACAGTTGGAAAGCTGCTTTCTCTGCTGAACGCGTCCATTGCTCATCATGCTTGAGATTCTTACATAATTATTTTGATAGTTCAATGGAATTATTTCCAGATTAGCTAAACTTTTAGATGTATTTCGGCAAAATCGTTCTTCCATATGGCAATCGCGCAGTAAATATATATGTATATCTTGATAACGTCGTTGTTTTAAAATCTATTTTAAAATACCCCTTCACATTCACCTCTTCGTTGATCCGTAAATAATTATCGGAATTTCTTTCAGCCGTTCGTCTGCGAAATGTACGCGTGAAATGTCGCTGGACGTGCGCCGCGCGGCTTTCTCCCGACGAAGGGCATTCTCTGGTTAGCGCGCGATGTGCGAGGTATCGAAGAGCCAACGCAGGACGTTCCGGGACCAGGACCCACCGCGAATATGCAACAAGAGCGCGGAGAACCTGCTGCGAGACGAGCTCGAGTTCTCGCGCTCGACCCCGAGCTCGCCGACGACCCTTCAGCGCGCCGTCAGCCTCGAGAAGTGCTTCAGCGAGCCTGAGTTCTTCCAGAAGCAGCGCGAGCTGCTCTCGAAACATGAACAACGGTCGAAGGATGGCGACGGTGAGGAAAACGTCATCCCTGGCTCCGCACGTGTGGACGACGATTCTGGGAGTACGGCCGCAAGCATCGAGGAACTCTCGAAGGAATTCTCCGCCAAAGTGCCTTCCCCTTGCGAGCAGGCGAGCGAGGTAGGAGCGAACAATTGTGTCAAAGAAAAGTCTTTAGAAAGACAAATCAATCTTTTCGTCACAATTTTCTCGTCAATGTTTTCATCATCATTTTTTCGCGAAGTCGACTCTGCAAGAAGATTGTAAATCAATCACACTGAGGCCCAATTTTTCATTATCTGATTAACTTGTGGCTGATTAAGCTAATGTTCACTCAATAGGCTTCACCCGTAACATCATCATAGATTAAGTCCATTGGGTAAAACACTAAGTTAAGTCTAACCACAAGTCAACAAAGAAAAAAATGAAAAACTCAGCCTGAGAAAAAAGGTATTTGTGACTGTGATTGCATGATAAAATAATTGTCGTTATGAGCTCCATTTTTGTAGTTATTATGTATGCTATGATGTTAGTAATAATAATTATATTTAGAGTTCTATATAAAAAATATATATAATGTTAGTATAGAAAGTGATTATAAACAATAAAAGGAGCCACACGCAGGATCTTTCTCGTATTTCAAGTCTTGTATTTTAAATATTTACGTTAATAATATAAAATAATAAAACGTAGACACGTTTTTACCAAGATCAGATCATTTTCAGGATGTCAAAGCAATAAAGTATAGATGTATAATTAACAAATTATAAATAAGTATCAGAATAATAAAAATGTCATAAACGAAATTGACAAATGATTATATTGCATAATTATTGTACCATGCAATTATAGTCACAAATCCCTAACACTTTGCTCTCTGCTATTACT